TCGTTTTTATGCGTCATAATACATTATTATCATATACCGGTGACAGTCAAGATTTGCTAAATAGTTTTCGCCGAATAACACAGCGTAACAATATAGTCTGAATCTTTTCCTGCGTTTCTGACCACGTGACTTACCGTTAAGCGCACTGCATTGTGCTTTATAGATGGTTGATTTAGATTAACTGAAGCTGCGAGTAATGAAGTAATGTGAAAAAGCTCATCGTATATAATTTAAAGTTTGGATTTGATAGCAGCCAATAATTGATGAATTACATCTAAGTTATAGACGAAGATGAAATGATACGTTTGAACAATTGTAAGTGGACGTATTATGCCGTCACCCCTGTGTGTGTATGTATGTATGTGTGTGTGTGTGTCTGTGGGTCACCTACACATTTGTAAACTTTGTATACTTATTCCTTATACCCTAAGGATGATCCCTATTGTTTTTGGTGCATGTCCGACCCCCAGGGGCAGAGCCATGGCCATTTTTTGTATTTGTTTGTCATCTACAGACCGCATTTCTTAACGTAACATTTTGAAACTTTGCATACTTATTCTTTGTACCTTAAGGAACATCCCTATCGTTTGGGGTGCATGCCCAACCCCCAGGGGCAGAGCCACGCCTATTTTCTTTTTGTGTTTCTGTGTGTCGCCTACAGGCCACTGGCCACAATTCGTAAGTGATCATCTTGAATCTTTACATCTTTATTCCTAAGGATGATCCCTATTGTGTTTGGTATATGCCCGATCCCCAGGGGCAGAGCCACGCCCATTTCTTGTATTTGTTTGTCGTCTACAGGCCGCATTTCTTAACATATCATCTCGAAACTTTGCATACTTATTCTTTGTACAATAAGGAACATCCCTATCTTTTGGGGTGCATGCCCAACCTCCAGAGGAAGAGCCATGCCCATTTTATTTTTGTGTCGCCTACAGGCCACAATTCTTAATCGATCGTCTTGAAAAAATTTCATATGAATTCCTTATACCCTAAGGATGATCCCTATTGTTTTTGGTGCATGCCCGATGACCCCCAGAGGTAGAGCCACACCCATTTCTTATATTTATTTGTTTGTCATCTATAGACCACATTTCTTAATGTATCACCTTGAAACTTTGCATACTTATTCCTTCTATCCTAAGGAACATCCCTATTGTTTGTGGTGAATGCCCAACCACCAGGGACAGCGACGCCCATTTTCTTTTTGTGTGTCTGTATGTCACTTACAGCCTGCAGTGCTTAATCGATCGCCTTGAAAACTTTTTTTATACTTATTATACGCCCACAATTTTTATCTGATTTAAAAAAAATGTGTGAATATATCGCCATTCAACACTAAGATCATGGATCCTTTTGATAATCGCAGATACCCGAACTTAACTTCCTGGATTATGGCCCCTGCTTGTTCGAAAAATGGCATTTTTAGCTTGCGGATTCCAACAAAATGGCCGCTCTTTGTACGCAAATTGTGTAAAAGTATGCAATACGACGGTTGTCGACCCTCTTAGAGGTCACATTTTTGGTCTGATTCTGATGAAACTTAAATCACATCTTTACATCCCAAAGATCTCAGTCTCTTTTGATATTTGCGCATTTCGGACCATAACTTTCTGGATTATTGCGCCTGATTGTACAAAAAATCTTGTTTGTTTTTAGCTTGTTCGTATCCTGCCTGGCAGCCGCTGGTTCCTGGGGGGTTGGGTGGCTGAATGGTTAGCACGTGCGCGCTGTACCATAAAGTCTGTCATTGAGTCAACTGGCGTGGTTTCGAATCCCCGGTTGTACGTTGCAAGGAGTAGGATGGCCTGTCCAACCTCGTGGGTTTTCTCCGGGTCCTCCGATTTCCTCCCACTGCTAAAGACCCCTACGCGCAAGCAAATTATTGAAATAAAATTAAACCATGTGTTAGTCCCGAAATGACCTAGTTTGTGTCGAGTGGACGTTAAACCCCATTTCTCTCTCTCTCTCCGCTGGTTCCTTATACTCCAAGACTGACCTCTATTATTTTTGGTGCATGGCCGACCCCCTGGGACAGAGCCACGCCCAATGTTTGTGTGCTTTTTGTGTCGCCTACAGGCCACAATTCTTAACAGATCCTTTTGAAACTTTGCATACCTATTCCTTCTACCCTAAGGATGCCCCCTGTTGTTTTTTGGTGATTGCCCAACCCCCATTGGCAGAGCCACACCCTTTTTTTCTTTCATGTCTCTGTGAGTTGCCTACAGGCCAAGATCCTTAATGGATTGTCTTTGAACTTGGGATATGTATTCCTTATAGCCTAAGGATGACAACTGCATGTCCCGACCCCCAGGGGCAGAGCCACGCCCAATTTTTGTTTTTATTGTTTACAGGACGGAATTCTGAATGGATCAACTTGGTACTTGGCATATGTATTCCTTATATAGCCTAAGGGCGTCAACTATTGATTTTGGTGAATGCACCGACCCCCCCAGGGGCAGAGCCACGCCCAATTTTTTGCCTTTAGCGCCCAAAGGCCATACCAGGAATCCTCGTATTTAAGCCCTGCTGTTATTAAGCCCATGGGTTAAATAACAAGTTTAAATTTCGAATTTAAGACCATGGGCCTAAATTTAAAATTATTTTAGAGTGGTCTCCCTTTTAAATTTTCAAACCACACGTGAACTACAGGCTACCAGATGTTCTCCAGTCACACTCTGGTCTTGTACTGCCAGGTGAGAACCAACTCAGTGACGACACGTTTGAGGATTCCAGTTCAGACGAGAACATTGATGGGTAATGGATGCTCACCATACTAGTAAAAGCTAGCCCTAAGATCTGACAGTTTCTTTTTGTATTTCAGAACATTTATATGACTGTGTATCGCAGTTGTGTTTTAAAAGCCATGTTTGTTGATAAATTTGATTTGTTCCATTTAAAATTATATAAAGAACCCAAATGTTTGTCTTTTTTTCGAATTGAAGCCCTGGGCTTAATTTCAGAAGAAATGTTTCATCACTGACATGGTCAAATTCGAAATTAAGCCCAGGGCTTAAATACGAGAATTCCTGTTAATTCTGAATGGATTATCTTGGAACTTGGTATACTTATTCCTTATACCCTAAGGACGGCAACTATTGATGTTGTCATTTCAATAACAGGATGGTACCTATTTATATTTTTTCCATATTTAACCCCCAAGGGTAGAGCCACACCCACTTTTTTGTTAGTACTTTGTAAATTTGGCAAAACAAACCAAACGCCTAGCCTTCTTTTCCTCTGATCATATTACAGCCATTTCATATTTCATTCTCTTCATTTTAAAAAGTACCATATCAATTAAAGCTGAAATGTGGACGTATATTGCAGCGTTAGCGATGCTCTTGTTACTCATTTTTCGGCATTTTGTCCTCTCGGTCGATAATTGGTCCGACACCATGTTTTGACCCTTATCTATCTTCTTTATTTATCATAAAAGATCCCTAAATTAATTTGACTGATTTCCTTTGCAGGTCTGCATGTGAAAATGTGATTTGATCTGTATTGAAAGGAGTATTTGAAAAATAAACATCATCAAAATGAGCAAAATTGGCATTTTTGAAAGTCTCTTAATCAAAAAATTGATCTCCTATTGTTTTAATGTTTGTTTTACTAGTACCCAGGGGTAAAGTCTACCAGAACATAACAAAACAACTGTGTTTTTGTATTTATTTTTCTTTTTATTATACTTCGAAAAACGCTACTTCGTGATTGTTTTACACCCCAATTAAAGATAATTGACTCAAATTTTCTGTGCTTCTATTTGGGTCATAAATGAAAAAATTTATGTCCAAAAAATCAACATTTCTTAAGTTTGAAAAGTTAGCTGCTGGCACCTATTTAGAGGTCACAATTATTATCTGATTTAAAAAAAACGTGTGAATATATCATCGTTACACCGTAATGATGGTTGAGTTCGAATTTCGTGAAAATCGAACCAAAACTGACGGACAAAATGGACGCCCCTCATAAAATGCAAATGGTGTAACCATCTGGTATATTATAATCAAGGTTGTGGACCCTCTAGAGGTCACAATTTTGATCTGATTTTGATCAAACTTGAAATGCATGTTTAAAGCAACCAAGATCTTTGGGTCATAAACATGCATTTAAAGTTTCATCAAAATCGGATGAAAATTGTAATCTCTAGAGTGTCCACAAGCTAAAAACATGATTTTTCGTACAATCAGTGGCCATAATAAATGAAGTTATGGTCCGATACATGCCAATATCGAAAGGAACTGAGATCTTTGGGAGATAGACTCATATTTCAAGTTTCGTCAAAATCGGATAAAAATTCTGACCTGTAGAGTGTCCACAAACAAATTGTGAACGGACAGACAGGGGCGACGACAATATATGTCCACATGAAAATGTGGGTGTTTAAAAATGTTTATATGTATCACTGTAACACCATAATGACAGTTGAGTTCAAATTTCGTGAAAATCAGACTGAAATTGCCCGACAAAATGGCCGCTCTCTGTACGCAAATAGCGTAAAAGTATTTAATGCCTGGGTTGTGGAGGTCACAATTTTTATCCGATTTTGATTAAACCTAAAATATATGTTTATATTCCAAAGATCTTGGTTCCTTTGGATATTCGCACATATCAGACCATAACTTTCTAGGATTTTTTTTTTTTTTTTTTAAGCATCTCCTGCAAATTGTGGACGTATCTTGAATGGCAACCGCTTGTTTTAGCTTGTGGACTTTTTAGAATTTATATTTAATTTTCAAAAACATTCATATATATCACTGTTACACCATAATTACGGTTGAGTTCAAATATCATGAAAATCAGACCGAAATTCGATGTGAAGCATTGGGATGATGAGAGGATGAGGATGAGCCCAATTGGTTTTTCTCTGTTCTTGCAAAATGTGGGCATGGCAACTGCTTGTTAAATTTTCAAAGAGGATTAAAATATTTTTTTTTGGGGTCTCCAAAACATTGAATGCCGAAAAGTCTTGATGTCTATTTATAACTTTATTATTTCAGTTATAGTTTAGTCAGTGGTTGTCCAAAACCATATGGTATCAAGTTAGATAAGAAAACAAATGAAGAGTTAAAATCTCACAGCAAAACTTATTTAAAGGTGTGTTTTAAATATGTCTTCAACAATTTGAGCATAATGTCTTATTATTGATGCGATACTATTGGATTAAATGGCTAGTATTAATAAGCTTACAATTAAATGACAACTCTAGTCATTCTAGATTTAACTATATTTTATTCATTATAATGTTAAGCGCATGAGGACCGCATTTAAATGATTTCAGATGTGGACAACTCAAATTTTAAGTTGTTTTGCTTTTAATTAACAAATTAAAGTAGGCTACTGTGTGTGATTTCATGAGCAAAGTGTTTGTCCTGGTAAACAAACTAACAAGCAACACATGCTATTGGTGCTTTTATGTGAATACACATAAAGAAAGTCATAGAATAAATGTTAATAAGACCTAGGCAACACATGTTAGTTGAAGACAAAAATAATTGTAGTATTCTACTTCATGTTGTGCGTAGTTGAAACAGTTGTTAGTGAATACTAACTATACTCTTTGGAAAAAGAAACGCACAGCCCATTTTTCATCATTTTTTATTTGAACGGGATCATTGTATCCATAAATCTTACTTGTTTTTAATGTCATTATGTAAGCATAAAAGAAATTCATTATTAGGCTTTCAGACTTTCGATTTACATAAAATTTTCACCATGTGATGCCTTATGCCATTTCTGATTTCATAAAACTAATTGAACATTTTCATTATCACCAGACGTACTGTACACTTACATGTAACAAATGTATAAAATGAATTGATATTGCTGGATTTGGTTGATTCGGCATCCATTTTATTTGATGTGTGCAATGCTTATGTGGAAACCTGTTTAATGGTTTCATTGGTACCGGAAGTGACATGTTTAGGGTAACGTGGCACCGGTGAAACCCGTCATTACTGCATCGCAGTTCTAGTTATTTTTATTATTATTTTTCCATTTGAGCATATCTCAGAAACTACTTGTCGGATCGATTCGATGTCTTCGGTTTTACTTGGAAAGTGGGTTTGACTTAAATTTTAAAGCTATTTCCAACATTCTGCGACAATGCGAAATGTCCGAAATCACCGAAGTTGTCGTTTTTCGATATTTTGCCGAAATGTTATCAATAATTGTCGGATTGTAATATTTGATACATTTTGACATAGCCAGAGACAAGGCACATAGCTACGGTTCTTTGGATTTTTTATTTTCGACGTATCTTCGGAGATATTAGGCGCCAAATTTTGAAAATTAAAATTTTTACGAAAATTTTTTTTATTAATGAATATTTTTATGTGGTATTTTACCAGGGGTTAAAGGGTCATCTGATTTGACAAAAAATATCAACATTTTTTGTCACCGTATTTTTCCTCGGGCCCCCATTGGCTAATTCAGTTTTTCAGTCCTGGATTAATTATTTATTGTTCGATTTGTATAAAACAAAGTTCATATGTTCCGCGGTCCAAAATGTCATTATTTTTGTTATCGGTACATTTTCCTTTCGGCAACGGAAATAACATAAATTTAGCAAAAACTGCAATTTTGAGAGTTCGGTACCACTTTTTGAAAGCAAATATTTTTTTGTTCAAATCTGGTATGACTGAAAGGGTTTGCCCTGTTAATGCACAGAAATAATTATATTATTGTATTCACCGGCCCCGTTCGGGATGTTTTGATTACAGTGGACTCTGTCACATCGTACGTGATCGTTACAATATTTCGATTCACACAGCGTGTCGGAATACCGAGCTTTCTCCAAAACCGGAAATACTGTAACCGGAAGTATTTTTATACTGTAGCTTCGAATCACCAGAATGCTATTCCCTTTAAAAATGATAAACCTTTCTGTACTTTCAAAATTTTATTACATTAAATAATTAACAATAACAATGCATGCGTACAATATATTCATAAAATCATTTACATGTAATATCAATGCATGCGTACAATATATTTATAAATATCAATGCATGTAATCGTTTAAAGTAGTTTGCTTAAGATTACCAGAAGCATATCTTAAGGCGGAGTCCTGGACAACACAATATGTCTGACACTGTAGCTCGGCCAATTGAATACTTAACGGCTAATTCCTTCTGCGCAGGTCGTGGAACTTTCTCAAAATCTGCTATAAGTTGCCGCTTTACATCTAATGTCAAATCTGTTCGGACACGCTTTGCAGGACGTTCAGACATATTGAATACAATAATGTATAATGAATCTTCAATCGCTGCAATTTTTATATAATGTTGCGGTATTTGACATGAGTAACTAAAATCAAATACCAAGCGCACTCTTACAAGAGATTACCAATTGTAAAATAATCAACAAAGAATTTATAACATTATCAAAGTAATCAACACAGACCGGCGCTTGCGAGTTTTAATCTCACCGATAATTGATTGGTGATTGCTTGTTAATCTTTTCTGGCTTCACACCCATTGAGTTTTAACTCACCGATAATTGGATGCTTCACACCCACCGTTTGAAGTACGGATTATACGGTGTCGATTCAATGGAAATTATGTGACGGGACGGCTGATTGATGTCGTAATCCGGAACATACAGAATCCGGATTTACCAGCGATTTTTTGGCTGAAGTAATAAGGAAATAAATCGGGACATGAAAATCATGTCGGATGTCACAGCATTCCGGAGTGATCAGACATCGGATGTAACAGAGTCCACTGTAGTACCAGGATTTTCAGTATTGTTTACTTGGTCACCTTCAGTTGCTGGATTATCATCTGCCACGACATTATCATGATCGTTGTTCGAGGCCATGATTTCACATTCACAAAATTCACTGTTTAATGTTATAGCACGTCCACAGACGGTTTTCACTTTTATGTAGACATGGACTTAGTAGGGTGCCACAGCATTAATCGACACAACATTTGGTAACTAGGGTAAGCAACAGTTCATCACAGAAATTGTGGTCTGATTCCCAAAGTGGTTATGGAAGGGAGACAATCAGTCAACAACACCAAGAAAGTCTTGAATTTGAAAGCATTTATATGACGAAGACAGTTACTTTACATATATAAACGTAAACAATAATAAATGTAAAAGAGTTCACAGTTGAGTTGTTTGATTCACTTAATGGTTCATTATAGAGTGTTCTACATGTTTATAAAATGTTCACGGTTGACTAACTTGTCAGTTTGGACAATTTCACGACAGATTTACATAGAGTTTATCACTGAATATCACATCATAACCCACTTGGCATGATTCACAAATGCTACACAATGTTCACATATCACCTGTTCACAGATTCTATCACATAATTTTCACTTGGTGAAAAAACGATATGAGACTGGCCCTACCAAGCCATGATGGCTGGATCACAACACGTGAAGCCTGCTGCTTCGACCAATGCGCAGGTGTCCCGCCAATAGCCTTGACTAACTAGACGCTTGACAGACAAAAAATATGTAGACTACACAAGTTTGTTAGAAGACATCAAATTCGTACTAAATAATGAAACTCAAACATAATAAGGATTTTTTATTTATCAGTAATGTTATTTTACAGGAAACAGGAGAAGTTCTGATGGCACAAGACTTAAAAAAGGTACAGACATACGGTGGTCGTAAAATATGTTTTGAAAATGATGAAGTAGTGAATATAAAACGATTTGATGTTTCTGGTAAGCATGTTTGATAAATGTTAAAAGATTTTTTATACGCCTACATGTGGACGTATATTGTCGTCGTCCATATGTCCACAATTTGTTTGTGGACACTCTACAGGTCACAATTTTTATCCAATTTTGATGGAAAACTTGAAATATAGGTTTATCTCCCAAAGATCTTGGTTCCTTTCAATATTTGCATGTATCGGATCGATCGTAACTTAATGGATTACGTTTGAGCTTGTGGACACTCTAGAGGTCTTAATTTTTATCCGATTTTGATGAAACTTAAAAGATGTGTTTATAACCTAACAATCCTTTCGATATTTACTCATATCGGACGGTAACTTCCTGAATTATGACCCCTGATTGAACGAAAAATCGTGTGTTTAGCATGTGGTCCCGCTAGAGGTCAGAATCCATTATCCGATTTAAAACATGTTCAAATATGTCACCGCTACACCAAATTGATGGTTTAGTTCTAATTTCATGAAAATCAGATAGTGTTAAAGTAGTGTTAAAGTATGTAATATCAAGGTTGTGGACCCCGTAGAGCTCACAAATTTTATCCGATTTTGATGAAACTTAAAAAATATGTTGATATCCCAAGGATAGAAAAAGCAACTTCAAGGATTATGGCCCCTGATTGTACAAAAAATCACATTTTTAGCTTGTGGATCCTTCAAGAGGTCACAATATTTATCCAATTGGGCGTATAAGAACTGACTGAGCTATATCTGTTTGAGGTTGCCCAAGTCAGATAAGGTATTTTTTAGAAAAAGCAAGTTAAAGATATCTTTATATTCTAAAACAAAATCACATAGCAACCACGACATATATTTATTAATTTTTGTTTAATATTTCTCTCAGTGTTATAATTTAGAACGAAAGAGAATAGTCCATACATTAGTAATGTAGGTCTTGTATATTAAAACTTTTATGGGAATAAATTCTGTTGATTTCAACAATATTTTATTCAAATAAGATAGATATTGTATACATACACAGTGATGGGATTTCAAAAATTTTCTTGTCAGACAATTTTACCAAAAATAAAGGGGCATAACTCTTATTATTTAAGCAGGCGGTTTCAGACCCGTACTTTTGTTCAAAATCACCTCCAAAATTACCGTATTTTTCGGAGTATAAGTCGATACTTATTTCAGCAGAAGACCGGCATTCGTCTTATACTACGTTTTGACTTCTATACGGGTCTAGGTAAAAAAAAAGACACAATACCGAGCCAGTCACATCATCTGCTAAATAATAGCACTCTCATGCGCTATCGTGTAAAACAATTAACTACTTACATGTACACTATTCCAATCGAAATATTTGTCGACATTTCTCAGCTTGTTTATTTCCTTTTTTTTTCTCAGCATGTTTATTTCTCAGCTTGTTTATTTCCTTTCTTTTTTTTAAACATAAACCCAATTCAAAATATTATCATAAATCAGAGAATATGCCATCAAAATACAATCTTTCCTCCGACGTGATAATTGTCACGTATACATCTCTTGTAGTTTCACACGTCTCGCAAGATTTCTGCTTTAGTTTCCGATTATTGTATTATAACCACGTGTGAGTGTTTGTGTGAAATAGCTTTATTTAACATCCGCTTCCACCGAAGTGATATCGCAGACAAATTAACGGATATATTGATTTGCAAGTTAACAGATAGTATATTGATTTGGAGTGTTATATACTCTTACAATATGTGACATCTATGATTAGTTTATACATATTGTCGGCTCACATAAATGGGATTAAATTGTTTGACAATGGAGAAACCACGAGGTAAACATATAGATTAAAATTATAATCACTCTTATTGGATTGATGAATAGTCCGACAAAGGGGAAGCAATGACTTCTGTTTTAGATTAGTTTGATGAACTGTCCAACAATGGATTAAGTCAGTCAATCAAAACAGATTAAGAAGTTAATCAAGGTAGGTGTATAGACGGTATAAGACGATAAATACATTTATTACCTAATTAATCCAGCCTATTATCAAAGATAATTGGGTTGAGTGGTTGTTATACACTCAGTACACTATATTAATTTTGGAAATTTGAATATTATTCACCATGTCTTGATGTCCGATTGGGCATATTCCTGGTCAGACAATTTAGGACGTTTGGAAAATAGCGTCGAACATGTCCGGAATATACGGGTGAAATCCCATCTCTGATACACACGCTGTCAGAAGGTAAGGATTCGAAAACAAGCCAAAGGCTTATATTAATTCGTCTCCTTATTCAATAAATATACTACAAATATAATTGTAATATGTACACTTCACATAAAAAATACATTTAACAGTATGTTGTTTTCTATTTACTATTAATCGTGCATGCAAGTAATTTAATAGTTTCACTTACAGTACCTTACCATTTCAATGCGCTTGCTTTGTATGATGTTTTATCACTATCCTCAGTGATTTATCCCCAAGCATGCAGTTTTCGCCTTATGAGTTTTGGGGGCAAAACAGTGGAGATTGCGAAGCTACATGGCCAAAGATCTAATAATACGCGTAGGGTAGGGGGTGGAGGGAACGGATTACGCTGATTGGGGTAAGCACCATGGCGGGAATCAATGTTGCCACAGCTTACCCATTCAAGTCAAGAGTGAATAAATGCTCAACTCACGCATGCGCATAAAACCACTGAGACTATATCACTATCCTCAGTGATTTATCCCCAAGCATGCAGTTTTCGCCTTATGAGTTTTGGGGGCAAAACAGTGGACATGATCTTCACAGTCAATATCAAAGATATCATTTACAACCAACACTTATCATCCCCAATACTCATCATTCCCAACACTCATTAAGCCGATTATCTGGACTGATCGCCGGTATATGAAGAAAAACTAAAACAGTAATGTATATAAGGCTTTTATTTAATTTAATTACACATTAGCTTCGGAAAAAACTGCTGAGGTCATGGCTGGCGAGACTAACATCAATCAAAGTTGTCAAAGGCACGCTTAAAATTAAAATAATCGGTATCACGATTAAAAGTGTTTTCTATAGTGTGGGCATCGGGTACACTCTCGGCTAGCCTATGTGCCACTCTCATACTATTCCTTACACCGGCTCGAGAATAATATTCTGCACTTCCTTCAGTAAACCAACCACAATGGTCCATAATTTCCCTCGGGTCATCGTCTGGATCCGATACAGCCAGAGTCAAGGCGCACCCACTTCTGAAACTATGTGGGATTTCACTTTGATAGATACCCAATGTGGACAAATACAAATGAAGCCGCTCATAAACGACAGAATACGTAACAGGATTATCAAGGACGGTACCAGAATCTGACACTATCCGAAACAGATAAACATTCGATAAATTGACACCGATAAGCCTACAGCTACTCAAATACAATTCAATCGCATAGACAGGACAAATAAGCTTATCCTCACAACGCTTAATAACAAACTGGTTTTTCTTCGCCTTTAAACCGCGGAGTGTTTTCCCAAATGTTTGATTGAAAACGAAACCGGATCCATCGTCCAGGCTTCTAATTTCCTGGGAAACAACCTTTGCAAGATCACCTGCTCGATCACCCGCGAAAAATTGAAGTTTAAACCAAGCTTGATCACGCAGCAGAACGAATCTTTCTTTAAGTGTTAAATCCGGTCGAGACAACTGGGCTTTTATATAAGTCGCGATACGTCAAACTTTTGGAAGAAAAATAGGTTTGGCCTGCTTAGGAAGAACATGACTACGAGCCTGTTCCTCACGTAATAATTTTAAATAACCTTTTATTAAAGGTGAGCACACAGGGTTACCACGACAAGAGACAGAATCCCAATGCTTCCCGAAACCATGCTCGAGGAAAATAACCGAAAGGTTTTGAACAAGGCCTTCCACCGTACCAATACAAAGCCTTGTCGGACAAGCGCAGCCCTTAATTTTATTATCACCCAGATGTCTGCAATCAAGATTATGGATTTTTGTTTTACCAAACGAATCCTTCCAAATTAGAAATTTTCTTACATCTTCTGGTGAGCAGGAAACCAGAGTTGGCGAATCGGGGAGCTGGGAAAGGAAACGGCCAAATATTTGTAAAATAGACTGTCGTCTTTTAAAGGACATTGCTTCTGTGGATCTATTATCTAACTCTAGTATTCTCTCGGAAATCTTCTCCAAGTTAACCGACAACTTCTGAAAATAAAACAAGCTATTTAAAACAATCTGTAAGCAGACAGTGGCCACATTAGTCCACGGGTATCCCTACGAAATCCCTTCTGAGACGGTACCTCCAGGATACCACACTCTCCAACGGAGCACAGAAGTAAACTCGAAAACGCATGAGTATGTAATAATGGGGCCCAAACGGGAACTGGGTAGAAGATTGGGACTACAAACGTGCATGATTCGACCCTTTCATCCCTCAAAAGACACAAAACCGGAAAAATAAGGGAGAAGGGAGGGAAAACATACGGGTTAATTTCTTCGCGAATTCGCTGAGCATATACATTGACCCCAGAACTTTCAGGAGTTGGGTGAGGCGTGAAGTGTCTCCTCGTCATAGAATTAGAATCCAACGCCATGAGATCAACAGAATGCGGGCCAAACGCTGATTCGACAAGAGCCCATGCATTCCCAGATAATTTCGTATCCGAATAGTCTAATTTCCGGGAAAGGGAATCGGCCTGATTCTCTTTTGACGGTATATAATTCATTCTCAAATCAATATTCAGCCCCATGACCATTCGAAAGATTTCTTTCGTTATCTCATTCAAAGCCCTATCCCGAACACCTTGATTGTCCCAAGCATGAATACCGACATATTATCCGTGTAAACATCCACACGGTTATCCCTGAGTTCAGAAGTCAAGGAACGAAAAGATTCCAGGACCGCCGCAGCCTCCTTCAAGTGTACGGGTTGTGCATCATCCGCCTGAAAATAGTCGCCTAATTCAAAAATATTGCAACCCAATAAATCTTTTCTAAAAATAGCACCATGTCTGAAACTTGAGGCATCCGTTAACATAACCACTTG